CAGTAATGTGATTAGCAGTAGTGTTAATGGAGCGATTTGGAGCCCTCCTGTGCCACGGCTTTGCTCCTCACTTCTCAGCAGTGAAATGACCCCACAAGTTGAGATGGTGCCTCCCCCCCTCTGCCAGATCCCACCTAAACCCATTAATCCTTAATAACCCATATGGAAATGACAACACTGGATTCCTGGAAGGTCTCAATCCATAACTCCATGAACGGATGCTCTTGGACCCCGTCAGTGGAGCTTGGCGCAGACACTGCGATGCTCCCCCTGGGTCTCTCCTCTGCTCTTGGCCACCTTTATCCTCCGTGGGTGATGCTGGGGGAGTTGTGGGTCCTGCTGGCTCCGGGCTTGGCTCATCCCAGCACTTCCCATTGGGATGTTGAAGCTGTGATTTAAATCTGTCCTGCGCTGGTGGTTTATTTCCATCATCTCTTTGAATCTGGCTCTCACCTCAGCCTGCTGAGAGGCAGGACAGCTCTTGAGCTGCAAAGCTGCTGCTAATTGCCTGCTAGGGAAGGTGAGTCATTCCCAAGCTGTTCCTTACTGGCTGACCCAGGAACAAGCACCAGCCCAAACAAAATCCTGCTTTTCCAATGCTGCTGGGGGGCACTTGCAGATTGGAGTCCTGGGGATGTGTGGGATTGCTTCTGCTTCCTCACATCTCCTCTTGGTGTAAGCCAAGTCTGATTCCAGCAGGATACTCACTTGGGGAGATGCTCTGGGTACCACAGACCTGCCTGGTGCTGGTGCAGGGGATGCTCTGGGGACCTGGTGCTGGTGCAGGGGATGCTCTGGAGCCCTGGTCCTGGTGCAGGTTTGGGCAGATCAGCCTGGTCCAAGTTCCTGCTCTGGTATCAAATATTCCCTTTTGTGGGTTATAAATAGTGTGAGATGTGACTGGAAGTGAATTCACTGTTAGTATAAGGCAATGAGGACGAATGCAGGCAGGAAATCACTGCTGCCGGGTCAGCCTGGATCTGCCTCTGAAATTAAACAGCCCTGGGGGGATCCCAGGACAAATAAAGGTGGAAAACTGGCTCCAAAGAGGAGAGAACATCAAGGCTGGGCTCATGCTTCAACCCAACCCATGGCCCTATGATCCATCTCAATGGCAGCCTTCCCTGCAGGATGCATCTTCATGGAGACATCTGAAAGGAAACAGCTTCTGGGGGCTTCCCTTCCCTCCCCATCATGAGGGAAAGAGGGAACAGGGCAGGAAAGGGGGTTGGATGAGGAGAAAAGCTCTTTATCTCTGGAGATCCGGGCTTTCTTGTGCTGCAGCCCCCAGCTCTGACCCCATCAGTGCCACATCTTGGAGCCTTCAGCATCACTTCAACCTGTAACTGAGCCTCGGGGAAGGGCAACTCCCCCCCATCCTTCCTCTCCAGGTACTGTGGGGTGATGCTCTGAGAGCTTCAGGGGTACCCTGTGAGCCAGACCAGGCTCCCCTTCGCTTCCAACCGCTCCTCTGGGCTGCAGCAGCTTCCTGCAAAGCAATTCCCTGGCTTTCACCCAGCAAACCCCAGCCCCATCCATCCTGCTGTGCCGCAAGCCTGGGACAGGGGAGGATGGATGGAGGCAACCCCAGCCCTCTACTGCATGTCGCTTCCCTGTTTTCCTTATAGCCTGAGGGCTTCCAGGCAGTTTTCATCTCTCCAAGGGAAAATAAGGGATGCTGAAAGGGAATTCAGGCTGGAAAAGGGTTGAACCCTGTGGGCTGCAGGGACCCTAATAAATAACATAAACACATGGGACAGAGAGTCCTCGTCCCAGAGAGCTCCCAAGAGGATGCCAAGAGGGAACGGGACTGTGTGTGTGCAAACAGCATGAGGAATGCCAGCCCCTTCCCTGCTCAGCCAGGTTGAGGTGAGAGCGTCAGCCACAGCTGACAGCTTAAACCCGTGTTTGCTTAGCAATAAGAATCCAAGCAGGAAGGAAGAATCCAAGCAGGAAGGTGCCTGTGCAAGGAGCTGCCTCCAGACATCACCCTGGGAATCTCCAGGAGTCAGGATAACAGGCAGGGATAAAGGCTGGGAGTGATGGAGATGCACCGTTCCCCCCTCCATAGGCAGAGACATCCCCACGCTCCTGCCTGGGTTTCCAGGCACCAGGAGCACCCCAAGATGCAAAACCGGGCTCCCCATCACCAGAGCTCACCCTTACCCCCAAACCCACCCCTTTGGTGCCCAAACTCAGCCTGAAGCCCTCAAAGAAAGGCTCCTGCTGCAGTTTGGGGGGTGCAGCCATGCGGGGGGGGACGACACACCACAACATCCCTGTGCAGGGCGGGGGGACTTGTCTCATACAAGCACATCAAAGCCCCAACTCCTGCCTTTGTGGCAGCTCATTTTAGGGCTTATTTATGAGCATTAGAAGGCGAAACGTGCCTGAAATCCCTGCCCAGGGTGACGATGCACTTCACAGGGAAGCCTTCGGTGCTGAAGGGGCGTTTTGCAGCATCAGTGTGGCAGGAAGCGTCTGTGACTCAGCCCGAGCTCAGCTCCGCATCCGTACCCGGTCCTTGGGGTGATGGATGGGGGGAAGAGGAGCCGAGCCCCCCTGTTCTGAGCACGGGAGCAAGACGGGGACCTGCTCTTTGCCCCTCTGCCTTTGCAACGGGGGGGAGCAAAGCCGTTTCCCTACTTGGCTCTTACATCCCAGACACCCCCAGGCTCTGCTGCTGCAAAACCAGGGCTGAAGCCCCACACTTAAGGCTGGTTTCAACGCAAGGCACGAGCGGAGTTCTCTTTATTCCCCATCTCAGGAACATAGACCACACGCAGCTTAAACCCAACCCATGGAGCTCCCCATCCCCAATCCCATGAGGGGATGCGCTTAGGAGGAGCCTGAGCTTTCGGAGCAGGGACAACAGGCTCCAAAGCCCTGTTCGAGGAATCACCTCCCTGGGGGTCCAAGTAAACCAGCCCCATCTTCTGCCATGCTGGGAGCATCATCTGTAGCTAAAGGCAGAGGATTAAGGAGGGATCAAGCAGGGTTTGAGACCATCACAAAGGTGAGCTTTGTCCAGCCACAATCCAGGGCTCCCCATAGGTTTTAAGCTGAGTTTAGGGTGATAGATCCCAACCTCACCAGCATCTGCGGCCTGAAAGGAGGAGCCACAAGGACACGGGGCTGGCCGGTGGGTTGATGGAGGAAAAGCTGCCAAACATCTCCTGAGAGGCATAGGTCAGGTAGAGGAAGCCATCCTCGTCCTGGTTGTCCTGGTAGAGCTCCTGCATGGTGATGGACATGTTCGGCAGCCCCTTGTTGTTCACCAGCAGGTAGAAGGTCTGGGAGGAGGCCAGGTAGAGCCGTGTCCTGCAGGGAGGAAGGGGAAGGCAACGTGTGAGTGAGCATTGCCCAGCGCCGGGGAGCTTCCATCCATCGGGATATGGCTCCAGTTCTGCTGTTTAATGGCTTCTCCCAATGGGACCAAGCTTCAGCATCGTGTCCCTCTGGTGCCACCCATCCACAGGCATGAAGAGCCTCCGAGAGTCACCTCTCACCCCAGCAAGGGTAGGGGAACGCTGCTGTAAGTGCTAATTGCAAAGGCTTAATTGCATTAGGCTAAGCTTAAACACCCACTAAACCCTTGCCTAGTGGAGCAGCCAAAGGAGCTTCCAAGCCAAGCTGGTTCCTAGGACCTAAACTGGGCTGTGGACACTCCCCCTCCTTGTACTGGGAGCCTCTGACATGAGCCACTCACCGCAGGGTAACCACAAAGTGGGACAGGGGCAGGTCCTGAGACACCAGATACTTGGTCCTGGTCAAGGGGGGCAAAGTCTTCTCATTCTGGTAGCGCTCCACAACCACCTACAGCAGGGAGGAGATGCTGGAGGGCGAGACAGGCGCTGGGTCTGCTCCTCAGAACGGAGCCATAAAGCCTTTAGCAGAGGCTCTCCCTGCTTTGGTGGACACAGAGAGAAGGCGATGGGGCCTCACCGGGATCTTGTTGGGATACTTCATCCGGATCTCTGCCACTTCCTGCATCCTGGCAGCTGTGGAAGGGAAAAGGAGGAACTCAGCAGAGCCCATCGCTGTGTCCCTGCTGCTCCCTCTGCCCCAGGGACAGACCAAGGCTTCTCCTCTGCTTGAAGGGGCAGAAGCTGCTGTTGTCAGGCTGCATCCTCGGGCAGAACCCACCCCAGGCAGGTGCTGCTGGAAGAGCTCCTGATATAGGCTCATCCTGCCGCACCTGGGATGGGATGGGAGGAGCTGGGATGCTTGGCAGGGAGCTGGGCTCTGCTGGGAGGGAAGGGGAGGGAAGGGAAGAGAGAAGAGAAGATCTGGGGTTTGCTCCTTTGTATTTGCTAATGATAAACACAAATCCAGGCTGGGTGGGAGCTGGATGAAGAGTTGAGCTGAAGTTCTTCCCTGTGAGGGTGCTGGGACAGTGGAATGGGTTGAAGGGAGAAGCTGTGGCTGCCCCATCCCTGGCAGTGTTCAAGGACGGGTTGGACACAGGGGCTTGGAGCCTGGCACCACGAGGAAGGTGATGCTGGTGCCATCAGAAGGGACCAGTGCTTCCAAGTCCTTCCTTGTCCCACCCGACCAGTGACATGTTTATTACAGCTTCATGTTCCCCAGGGCAGGACTTGGTGTGTGCACAGAGGACCCGGTGCCAGCCCAGCACCCCCAGTGTACCCCAGTGGCCACAACAGCAAAGCAGAGCAGGACTTGCTCTCATGGTGTGCTGGGACCTGCTGCCTCTCTAATGCTCTTCCATCTCCTGCTTCAGCTGCTGGCCCCATGCAGGAGCTGGAGGAACGATTCCACCATGGATTAGATCATAACTGATGGGCTGAGGCTGCTCTGCTCAGCGCTGATGGAGAAGGGAGCCGGGGGGGGGGGCGGTC